TATTGTCCCATCCGACGCTTTTTCCATGCGAGTAGGTTTTGAAATGCTGTTTTCTAAGATAGCATAACGTGGGCCGTGAACAAGCTTTGATATGCTTAACCTTTAAGATACCTGATACTACTTTTCAGCATGAAATTTTTACTAATGAAATACTTACTTATTTATGATAAATATACGTACCGACATGAAAGTTCATATGTTGCAATCAATGTATTGTCAAACTGTTATTTTGGATTTCGGGTTCCGTCTTGCGAATAAGATGGTTCGTACTTGGGTGAGAAATCATGAACTCATATTACTCAAATGTGTCAAAGGAGAATGGTCTCTTCTAAAGTTGATATAAAGCATGATCGCCTTTTTATATAAAATAAGAACAGCAAATTTTAAAATTTAATTAAATTCTTTATATTAAAAATTTCAATCACGTTTATCTAACGTTTTAACAATCTAACTTAAATCTAGGGAAAACGATATATTTATGTGCATTCAAAATTAATTCAATTTTAAATGATGTTACATAAGTAACAAAAAATAGCGGCAAGAGCGTAAACTTACTTACTCCACAACATTCATACTGTAAATTTCTTTTTTTTTATAATAAATCACGGTTATCAAAGATATGTTATTTTGATAATAAATCATATGATTATTAGAGATTGTATAATGAAGTTTCCCCTCAACACTTACTTTGATATTTTTTGATATTATCTTGAAGACAAGTAATAATTAGTCTGTTATCAGATAATAATATAGAGATGTTTAAATTTCTTATCGTTTCCTTACATCTTATATTTTACATTTAATATTAATAAATCTTATTTAAAGAAAATAGATTAATTGACTGGTGTTATACCGTTAGACATGCAAATGTCTGTGTTTTTTCCTGTCTGTGAGTAATTCTAAAATTAAAACAGGCTTGGTGTCTAGGTTTGAGACAAATATTAATGATTATTTAATATTCTTATTCAAGATGTTTAATAATAAAATATAGCAAATATTAAATAAACCATCTAAAAGTGGTACGTATTGAGAACAGTCGACAACCGCCATGATAGTTATTGTACTGGAGCATTAGAATGAGTATAGAAAAACCAAAATGGCCATAATTGATGCTTAAGACATTGTAAACCACCAAAGTATTGCAGTCTATGGCGTAAATAATGTGACCATGATATAACTTATACCATGTTTATCCTCATGTTACTTTAGCATCGGTAATATACCACTGTACCGGTTGATAAAGGAACATGGTATATCACATCACATGATACCTGATTGGTTGGTCAGGACTGTCATAATAATAACCCACCACATTTTTTTTAAATTATGAATATTAATTGTATACATGTATTTATAATATATCGGTATGTTAAAATCCAGTGACCATGAATAAGTTGTTACAAATTGTTTCTTCTTTCTTTCATAGAATGTTTTATGATGTATATAATTATCTTCCATTTTAAGAACAAATTGTTCATCTGAACTTACATCAGTCTCCTATATTCTTTGATATCCATTAATAAATAGACTCTGAACAACATTGACTATATCTAAGATTATCTAATAGTCATTTAACCACCAGACTAGCCGTCCGAACATTCTTCATTAAATCCTACACAACAATTCATAAATGACACTTGAACATTTGTCAGAAGTGAAAATTCCTGTTGATTTCACAGACAATGGAATTGGTAAGTTAAGTATACGACATATAAGACAAGGCCTGGAACTAATAATAGTAAAGGGGGATTACTCTTATTGATTATTGCCAATAAAAGTCTGTATTGCTCTAGTGAACCTTGTAATAAAGGTTAAGTAGCATTCTATTGAATTTACCAAATCATTCAATAACTTCGTCTTAAGATCAGTCGTAACCGTTTCATTCTTAACGATAAAAACATTAATTTGTGCTAGGCTACTATGATCTAAGCTAGACAACTATCCTGTTGTATAATCCTTGACAGTAGAATGATGACGTCTTCTTGAAAGATTCACAAAAAGCTATTGCCGTAATCAGAACTGAAATACAAATTCTGAAATTTAGAACAATAGTACAACAGTACAACAGTGGTCCTGATAAAAACTCAATATTCATTTATATTTTTTAACCGTTGCGAATACAACATAACGATACCGTCCGATTCCGAAACACATGCCATGAAGGTCTCTGAATGTATGTTGCAGATTGTATCAGGCAGTCTGGACCTGTGAGCACGAACTGCATTGAACTGCAATGTAAGAGGTAAAAACCACATTCTGGAAATCATTTGCGTTTTGTAAATTAGTCTTCGAGAATTAGGTCATTGAGGTTGTTCGCCAGTATTGATAATTCAAAATGAAATTAACAAGACTGCCCGACTCTTGCCACGTGGAGGCCACCTCTTTTAAGAGTCATATTTTGAATTTTGATCCGCGAGCCAATGTTCCTTATGATCGACCTTTCGAAAAAAATCCCCATACAATGGTCCGTCAACGAACTTATCATCCCTGGATGTGCATAAATATTGTTGACGCACAATAGTAATATTAATACCCCTTTCCCCGACCGCAACTTCCTTACTATGGTCGGTCAAAGAACAGTTTACATATTTTCAAGTAGAATAAGGGGTTTTGAATGCAGTATAGATTGACATCAAATACCACTTTATCTACCTAGAAAATAGTAACCAGTCTTCGTTTATGACTTATCATCCCTAGATGTGCATAAATATTGTTGACGGACAATAGTAATATTAATATCCTCTTTCCCCGACCGCAACTTCCTTACTATGGTCCGTCAACGAACAGTTTACATATTTTCAAGTAGAATAAGGGTATTGAATGCAGTATAGATTGACATCAAATACCACTTTATCTACCTAGAAAGTAGTAACCAGTCTTTGTTTATGACTTATCATCCCTGGATGTGCATAAATATTGTTGACGCACAATAGTAATATAAATACCCATCCCTCCCTTCTTTACGCGTGCTTCACGTGAGTAATGGTAATGGTACCCAGAATTAGGTCACTGAGGTTGTTCGCCAGTATTGATAGTTCAAAATTAAATTAACAATACTGCCCGACTCTTGCCACGTGGAGGCCACCTCTTTCAAGAGTCAAATTTAAGTCCGCAAGCTGCAAAAACTTACTTACCAAATACGTCCGTTCCTCTGTACTCCTAAATTAAAAATGACAATAAAAAATAGTCACGTTTTGTTTTATATTGTTAACGCGGACGTTATAGTAAAACAATGACGTCATAAACGTTGAAGGAAAAATATTAAAAAGTTTAAAAAAATTTGAAGTTGTGCTTGTTTTTGTGCGAAAAATCAAAATTTAACACAGAAATATTGATCAATTAACTATTTACTAGATGTTTTCAGATATCATTGAGTACTCTTTATTATTATAATGTTTCTACTAGTTAAAAGTGGTGTATCAATTTCTTAAAATTTGAATTCATACTTCAGTCTTGTAGTTTAAGAATAGAATATATATTATAAATGCAAATGAATTGTTTAAAATATTTGAACTGTGTTGGAATTCGGTTTGTGAACTCATTTCCAAATGTTATTTTAGGTGGCAGGTGACAGACCCGTAGCTACAGGATGCAAAAGAGTGGGCGGGGGGGGGGGGGCGATTGAATGCCCCCTGAAAAATTCTAACAACCAACAATTCCATTACTGCAACTTAAAACCATACGTTATTGCCCCTCCGAACAATCAAGTCGGGCTACGGGCCTTTCTGGGTCCTATTTTTTTTTATCAAGCACAGTTTCTGATTATTCTTATAGCTTCGCATTTACATATAGACAAAGGAAAAGTACTTAAGTCGACGCCATATATTGAACCTGACGGACTATGGTGTTTTGCGTTTCATCATCTTTGTATGGTAAATATTTATGATATTCGTGAAACTTGATTCCTGGCAACTCTTTTATTACATTACGAGTTCCTGGAGGAATACTAATAAGGGTTTCCCTCCGGATACTAATCATTTTTCATATATAGTACCTTAATCTTACACATTTCATTAACCTATAAACAACATTTACATCTATTTGGCTTGTGTGGGTTTCAACAAATGTTTTCCGATTCAATTTTAATTTAATTTGTTTGGTATATTTCTCAAGTTAAAATATATAACACCTGATTAGCAGACAAATATGAATGAAAAGAAGCACGCTTTTACAAAATTTTAATTCTTGGGACAAGATACCTAAAAAGTAAATTTGCCAATAGGGTGAGCACAATCAATTTTGTTTTCAAAATATTAACTATTTGCAGAGCTTTTGATAAATGTTTGGTTAATAAACAACCAAGCTGTAGTTTGTTCTATCTGAACTGTCTCAACAGGTCAAGCATTATTAACATAAACTAATTGATAATAGAAACCAACATTACTTACAGACGTACTGAGTCGTTCAATTAATTTCAGGATAGTTATTTCTGACCTTCTGAAGAAAAGAAATTAATCTGAATAAATACTAGATACTTCAAAAAAGCAAGAAATGACTTTTATTCCCACTCGAAAACATATTTGAATTTGTTGTAGCGGAGTTGTATAAAAACAAAAGAAATGTAGCCTGTATGCTTTGGCACAGTATTTGCTATTCTTAAGGATCGCAAATCTCGCATGAATCAGTTACCAAGTTTACAATACACCAAAGTCAATCTTTTCATTTTGATGCAAGTCAGAAAAGCAGACAATCCAAACTGGACGGAATCAGTATTAAAAGGGAACAGTCGGCATTTTCGGGGATTTATTTGGGTCCTTATTGTGCTGTAATAGTCTTAAGAAGTACTAAAACGCACGGAAATCGCATAATCCCTTCAAATATACCTCAAACTAGAAATTTCACTGTCTATTCCTATATATGTGTTTTCTATATAAGGCATAGTCTCATTAAAATTCGTGTCAAACGTGAACGATAATGGATACACATGGATATCAAGACTATTACAGATTATGTAAGCTAAAAACAATCCTGTTTCTGAAACTAAGGTATGATTGGTGGAACTACGGAAGCATGGAGTGGACACGAGAAAAATTAAATATAACTCGTGGCCACGACTTAGTATCTCGTGGCCACGACTTAGCACCTCGTGGCCACGACTTAGCATATCGTGGCCACGACTTAGCATATCGTGGCCACGACTTAGCTATTTTGTGGCACGACTTAGCATCTCGTGGCCATGGCTTAGCATTTCGTGGCCACGGCTTAGCATTTCGTGGCCAGGTCTTATCTAATTCGTGGCCACGACTTGCTGCCTCCCATTTTGTATAAATGTGTCATATAAATCTTACTTACTGGGAAAAGGGGGTGCTCATAGATTACAAGGAAAGGAATGGACTTATAAGGACGTATTTTGATATTGGAATGTCATATAATGATATCGCCATCATTCTTGCTCATAGACACAGTATCATTTTGAGTGTTAGACATATATAATAACGAGATACTAAGTCGTGGCCACGATATGCTATGTCGTGGCCACGATATACAAAGTCTGGCCACGAAGTGCTAAGTCGTGGCCACAGGATACAAAGTTGTGGCCACGAGATATTAAGTCTTGGCCACGAGATGAGAATTTTTTTTTATTCTGCATTATATGTCCCCTTTATGCTTCCGTATGGAACGGATACTGAAGGTGCTTCATTAAATGCCAACCGCAACTGAAATGATAATGGCGAGAAACCTGGTATTACTTATTGATATTGAATTTTGTATAATGCTTTATTTTGTACACATAAATGTAACCGATATTATTAGATAATCAAGCAAGTTTTATGAAAGGAATGATCTATTTAAATTTATGTACACCTTGTTTAGATTACTTGGCTTGTACAAGTTAAAACTAAAAATTATTTCATGCGAGATGTCATAAAATAGCAATGACAGAGAAAGAGACTTATTTTACATAATAAACGTTTTAAACGAAATACGGGTGAAAGTTTGAAAAGTCGATGACTCGTGTGTTAAAAATCCCATTGCAATCAATATCCTTCTATAAAGGAGTGTGCAGTATTATTTGTTTGCATGTCAGAAGCATTGATGAATACGGAACAATAGTAAACTGTATTTTATGGAGTAGATTATGAATATTCATGAGATAATAAAAAGGGAATGGGGTATTGTTACGATGGTTATAAATCAACATTTTATCTGTAAACATGCTAGTCTAAATGTCTTCTATTGTAGATGAAACAGACGATAGAATGTCATTTCTTCTTTAAAATGGTAATTACAATCTGTTACGTTTTAAATTCCCTCTGATTATACAATTCGAAATCAATTAATAAAAAATATTCGTACATGCAAATGCTACCTATTAAATTCGACCGTAGGAGAATCTTGCTTACGGACATACAGAAACGAACCTTTTTTCATTGAGCTTGAAGATAGTGTGTGTTTTTTTTTTCTTTTGATTATTTTTCTCGTTTGAGTATTCCCGTATGAATTGAAAATTCGACATATTGGAATAATAAAGAAGAAATAAAAGACGCACGTACAGGCTACCAGCTGCTCCATGGCAGTATATTGCCATGGCAATGATCTTTTTCGGATGATCCATACTTCTCTGAAGATCATATTACTTTCACTGATGATATCTGGTTTCAAACTCATGGTCAGAAAAGTAACTACATTGCAAGTGTCTGATCTTCAATTTTAAAGTAGGACTGTGTGGAATCATATGACCTCAAGGGTATTTGTCTAATATCAAACCTTTACCGATGGGTCCAGGGCACAAAGTAACCTACCTACCCTGAACAAGTTTGGTGTTGAATCTTCAACTGTTTAAGTTGTTAAGTTTCGGAATATTGACAAACGCCGATTCAAATGTGTCCTTTTGGGGAAAAAATCCATTTTCACAAATTGTTTGCACTCGCACTTGTTTTTCATTTTGAAATTTCTGGACTATTGTGCTTTAAAGACAATATACCAATTCACCTTGTGCATGTTTCAAGACTTGGAATGTCTTTGATTTTATAAAACATCGATAATGTTTCATTAGCATGAGGATGTAAAAGAATGTACTAATAGTCATTTAAAACCCATGGTTTTATACCGACCATTTTTTGGTTTTGGTATTTATGTGAATTCTATTTCCGTTTTATAAAGATAAGTTGAAAATAATAGAAACTTAATGACTGAAATTCTCTATTTTTATTGAATTGTTTTTAAATTCGTTGCAGTAATTATTCTAAGGAATTAGCACTTATTCCCATAATCAGCCATATCACTAGAATAATTACTCAATATAATAAGCCATATAAAACGGGTTACTGATCTCCAACTGTCAGACTGACACCTGTCGACCAGGAAGTTAGAACATGCACAGCTTCACGTATTACACAATTATAGACGCATTTACCTTGTTGACCCAATGATGATCAATGGAAACACGTACCAAATAAATTGAGTCCAAAGATTAAATAAAATCTTCCGGGGCACCAGATACCACTCTGTCAGTTGAATTTGCTAACCGATAATCCACATAATATTGATAATTTGGTACGTGTATACTAATTACACTCCAATGTGAGAAGCTGATGTGCGAGACTGTTACTTTTTCTTAACATTCTGAGGCATGATATGTTGACCCTTTCGGTACTCTGCCTGGTTTAGTCTGTATATCTTAATAGTAGTTTATTTGTTATTTATATTCAGTACACTGGTGATATTTACGGATCTTGAACGCACACAATCTGTAACCCTTGGGAACTTTGACCAATCAGCTTCATGAATTTTCTGGTTAGATCCCTTATAGGGTGCATTAAGCAGTGGCAGAGCCAAAGGGAGGGCAGAGGGGGCAGCCCCGAAAGCATGTTTTTCGGGCCAAAATCTCGTAACTAGTTTAAAGATTCTGACAATCTCAGATATCTCGCACCCCCTCTCAGACGTAAACCTGGCTTCGCCTCTGGCATTAAGGATCATTGAGTTCCGAGTTAAGGAGCAAACCCGACACTCATAAGGCATCTGAGACTTTGAAACATTGAGGTTGAACTTAAAGTGCAATCATAAAAGAGACTGAAATCCTGCCACCTCTAATGTTGGATGATTGTGTTAACGTAGTTAAAAAAAAAGAACTGTATTTACACAAATTGCATCAATTACAGTCATTATACCAGATGATTGGTGAAACTAATATTTACTATTGGTATCATCATGGCGAATCGCTGTATCATGTAATCGGAAATTGAAATATTTCAATAATGGCTAGTGGTCCGGGAATGGAATGGATCAAGTAGGCCTATATAAATATATTTCAGGTGAAATATTGAGTTATCCATTATACATTTATATATTTCATCAAAAACTGTCTTGTCTCATACCGCTGAAAATGGCGTAGGTGTGTTTCTAAATCATTAAAAAACTTTCGGTGCGTATGCCAAAAAAAAAAAATCATTTCCCCAAATCCTGGCAGCGCCACTTACAATGACTACAAATCAAAGTATCAAACTCAGCAAAGATTTGAGAGATAGCAATGCTGGCAATACTAAGATTTATTCCTTGTTAGACGCAGGATCTCCATTTGTAGCATTAGATAGAAGCTTATACCATCTTCTATCTGAGATTGGTTCTTAACAGCTGTAAAAAAATCTGGAGTATTGTTAGAAAATGATGGTATGTAATGTATTTAAGGTAACTATACTAAAATATTCATGACATCATCAGACAACTAGTTGTTAATAATTACTTATCTATCTTACTAAATATATAAAATACTAATCTCGTACTGACGAACTGACTGATATCTTTTGTACTTCATTCCTTTTGAGTTAATTTTTGATATCATCATTATTGAGGTATTATACCTCTATATTTTATTTCGTGAAACTCCAGAACATGTAGAAGAACACAAATGACCATGAATAAGGTCAGGGGTTTCCAACCTTATCTATTGTATTACCCACCTTCCCCATTTAAATCCTTACTATTTCGTGATATTTTATTAGGTTTTTCCTGCAATTATTTTCCATGTCGGAGAATAATAATTGTCTAAATAGTCCAAGACTACAAAGCGCTTTAATTGATGTCAGTCTGTCATATTTGTATCACTTATTATTGTGTATTATCTTGTATCATGATGTATGCTGCCCAAAAAGGGCGAACAATACAATAAATATCTATCTATATATCTATTAAACAACCATTTGACTTTTGAATTCCACATTGAGCCATTAGATAAATAAATACATGTAGTTTGCTCTAACTCCGACTTATTTGTACCAAATCAATTCAAATACCCTCCATAAAACATTGAAATTTATTCCACAGTGCCTTATTTCATTTAATTGGGCCACGAGCGTGCCAAGCTCAGACAAAGGAATAAGGTCAGTCCATCTTGACTTGTTTGGTAGATTTTAGTGCATGAATGTATGACACCTTAAATATCCACACCGATGTTCTATAAACCCTGCTTTGATTCGAAGCTTAAATTCATAACCCCGAAATTATGTTTCCTACAATACAGTAAACATGTACGTAGTGTTTTGCCATACCACAAGATTATAAAATTCTGCATACAGGGGACAGCTTCACCATTCGTTTAACCAATCGTACCAATCTCAGAATCGTGTATATTTTAGCTAATCAAATCAATAATAGCTCACTATCGAAATTTGAGCCGCGTTTGAAAGTTAAAATGATGGCTCGTCTTTCTTTGAGACATTGCCATTTATAGAAAAGGCATATATATAGAAATAGAAAGTGAAATTTCTCTTTTGTTATATATTTGACGAGATTGTGCGATTTTTGCGCAGTTCTTGTACTAAAGACTACCTTCATATTCAAGATCAATACTTATTAAATATATACTTTATTTTATACTCTAAGATGATCGCAAACGAAAGTAGAAAAGAAGAAGATCACTTTCTAAAAATATTCCAATTAGTATGAGTGATCATGCTCTATTTTCAAAAAGATTTCCCGATAGTCGATGTCGCCTTCCGAAACATGTAGGATATCTTTCAGTGTAACATTTAGTTGTGCTTGGAACTAAATAACAGTTAACCTTGTAAGTCATCGATTACTTCTGAATTCTATCAGTCATATTGAATAGTAGCGACTTAATACAACATCAAATCACTCACTTGTTGACTCTTTGCTTTATAATCCTAGCATTCCATAAACGTATCGGTTGTACAAGAAGTCAATGAAAAGTTTAATTTTACATCTTGAACTTGACGGTGGTTGTCAGATTTGAAATCATTTTGGTGGTCGTTTATTTCGGATCTTTTATTGTATAAATAATAGTTAAGCAATTATGACTCTTACTCAGATGTTACTAAAATAAAAATCCTTATTTACTGTTACTGAAATGAAAGAAAAAACATTCATTTTTACTGTTACTGAAATGAAAAAAAAAAACATTCATTTTTACTGTTACTGAAATGAAAGAAAAAACATTCATTTTTACTGTTACTGAAATGAAAAAAAAAACATTCATTTTTACTGTTACTGAAATGAAAGAAAAAACATTCATTTTTACTGTTACTGAAATGAAAAAAAAAACATTTATTTTTACTGTTACTGAAATGAAAAAAAAAACATTCATTTTTACTGTTACTAAAATGAAAGAAAAAACATTCATTTTTACTGTTACTGAAATGAAAAAAAAAACATTCATTTTTACTGTTACTGAAATGAAAAAAAAAACATTCATTTTTACTGTTACTGAAATGAAAAAAAAAACATTCATTTTTACTGTTACTGAAATGAAAGAAAAAACATTCATTTTTACTGTTACTGAAATGAAAAAAAAAACATTCATTTTTACTGTTACTGAAATGAAAAAAAAAAACATCCTTTTTTACTGTTACTGAAATACAAAAAAAAAAATCCTTCTGTTACCTAAATGAAACTGCATTTATACTGTTACTCAATTGAACAAACCCATTTTTTCTATTACTCTTATAAAATAATCCAATGAAACGCTGTTATGAGCAGCACAGTCTGAACAAGAGATTGTTAAATGATGCAGCGTAAAGGCCAAAATTCTGTCCTCAAAAAGTCGGCAGATATTTTTGCTTGGCTTCTATAAGCCTCGTGTCTTGATACTGTAGGTTTATTTGTTGCCACTTTGTCAATGGTGAAGAACTGAACATTGATTAGATAGTTTTAAGCGTGAAGTAAAGATCCACATTTCGTTCTTGGTTACTATCGACTCTAGGACTAAACGTATTTCTGTATTCTCAATATTATTTATATGATAATATTCCTCATTTTTTGGATTCATTTTGTGAATAATTAACATTTTTTTGGATATTTATAAATCCGAACAAAGGTAAGAATTTTTACTGTAAAATTTTATTCACACTTGCATGCTAGTTGAATTATGTTGTATTCTTATCTATCTTTCATACCAATCAAAATGCCTTTACGAATATAAAACAAGAATATATTTTGGAATATTGCATTCTCAATCTTCATCACTGAGATATTATTATTGGAATGTATGTAATATTAGGAAATGTTACATTCTCTTTTATCATTTCCTAAAAAAAACACGAAGACCGGAATGTTCTAAGAAAATACATAACCATTTTTTATACCTAAAGAAATATTCAGATAACAGTGACAATATTTTGGTCGACGATTTTATTCTGTATTCATCACTGATTTTAACACATACAAAACCTAATGAATAAGATAGACCCACTAAGGAATTGAACATTTACAGCTATCGTAATTATTGGAATGCGTCGTTTACTCTGTGGAATGTATGTTAAACCAAAGCTAAAAGATTTGTAAATCGCAATTTAGATGGTTGTAGTAATATGCACCGCTCCAGGTTGCGAAACAATAGATGGATTACTGTTTGCGTCTGCCTACAGGATTAAAACCCTCCATTCTCAACAATAATTCTTCTGATCATTTGTGTCGAAGTGTGGTAAGGATTCCAAGCCAATTTCTGGATGTAGGATGTTTTAATAAAGGGGATTTGATATAGGTCTAAATCCTTCATGTTACTGTGGTTTTTTTTGTCGTTTTAACAATACTATTACGCAATAGCTGCAACTTTTAATATCTATATATTTTAAGAAAATGGAATTTGTTCTAAAACTGTGCTTTTGTCACCCTTTAACTATTACAGTTTCTGCATTGAGCAACTTTTATATAAAGTTATTGCATAGTAGATGCCAAATGATGTTTATTATCTGAAAATCGAAATCGTTTATGCGTTCGAGGTGTCAAAGGAAAATAGAAATGCTCTTCGCTATATAAATCTTCGGTTTTCAGATTACTAAAAAAATACGTTGATTGTAGGAAATGACCAATTAAAGTAATATATGTGACAGTGTGATTGACTAAGTATTTTGTTTTTATGGAGATAAGCGAGTTAGAATTGAATTATGAAGACGTTAGAGAATAACATCACTCTACCATTTCCCATGTGTTATTATACTTCATCAATGTTTTGTGATCAACAAACACAGATATAATCAAATATTACTAGTCTAGAAATCTGGACATCTTGTAACTTAACGAAGCTAATTTGTTTTCTAATATCATATATTTTTGGATTGTAAAGAGGTATTTCAGCTTCCGTTTGCACCATTCCGATATCCCGTTTGACGACTGTGGGTCGTGGATCGTATAATTGTTTGGCTAAAGCTTCATTTGGCTCGAATGGCATTTGGAATGACGTCATAATTTTCTCATTTTTTAATCACTGGATCCACAAAAGTAGGACGGGAAATCGGATTAGTGCAAAAAAATGATAATGCCCCTGATACACATACTAAGACTAGAAAACATCTTTACAATCTTCGGCTTGATTTTACTCTTCGTAATAGTCCTGGAATCTTGACGAATTGTAGACTATTCGCATCTGCGTCCCATTTCTAAAGAGAGCTCATAATAGGGTTATGTCACGTAACCTTTCTTGTAAATATGTCTGAGAGGACCCTGCATGGCGTTGCCTGTCTTCATTAGCCCACATGGTGCTGAAACGTACGACGTAAACTCCATTTCATGTCTTAACCGGAAGTAAATATAATGCTGTCATTATGATATACTCAACTAAGCTTATTTTAGATCACGGGTTTTCAAACTGGAGAGGGGGTGGATCCTGAAAGAAGTAATAGAAAGGGAGTGGTTGAAACCCCTGCATAATATCAATGAATATAGTGTTTCTACTAACTCTTCACACTTCAATACCAAATTGTACCACATGTCGCACCTCATTACTCTAAAATATTATTAATAGTTTTAAGAAGATGATTAAACAACAAGCACCAGCACGTGAGAAAATAAATATTTAAAATATAAATTGATTTATGTTTTGATGACACGCTGTTGAAAAGTTTACAAAAATTAAATATTTATATCTAGCACAATCTTTATTATCATTGAAAATACCTAGAACTGCTCATATCATTCTATTCTTTCACGACCTGTTATGGTCTTTGGGTCATATTTGCTTTGATCGCGTAGAATAGGACATCGTCTCTAAATGGTATTTCATTCATGAACGAACACTTAGACGCATAAATTGTGAAAGAAAAGTATCCAAAAGTCGCAGGGTTCATCATTTTTGCTATGAAAGATTTTAACATTAGGACATGATCGGAAATGATGTTTGCCTGAACAAGCTATATTAATGCCACAGAAGTTATGGTGATTGTAAGGACAAACACGCAAGGGACTTGGTCTCACAGGTTACGATACCAGCTGGAATTAATTTCGTAATTTAGATATGGTACATCGTTCATACAATCGGGGATAGTGCTTCTGACATAAACTTGAGGCATAATTATCATACTTAATGCATCTTTAAGTCCTACCTACTACGCCCCAAATAAAATTTGCATGGCAATTGTTGAATACAAAGCATAACAAAATCTATTCCAAACAATGGAATTTGTAACAGACTTGATTTTGAATACATTATTCATTCTTGAGTTTCGGTTGAATTGTTATTATATGTTTCTCAAGTGGCTTGAGTTGGCTGGGAGATCGTGAAGTCTGTCTGTTTTGTTCTGGGTGATAACGATTAGCAATATGTTCCCCGTTTCCCTTATAACTAACGGCAGCTGAAAAAAAACCTGCCGCTGTAAAGTGATTACAGTGTACCGTACGTAGCATAAGGTTTTTGATTTATTTTTCTGTTACCAATCTACCTATTGTGTGTAATATTGGCGAGTTTGGCACCAGAAGACATCTGATACTATTTGTCATTGTGAAGAAGTTTAATTTATAACTGCAATACTTTACCTCATTAGCTGCTACCAATGTGATATAAAACTCTTTTTTTCTGGTTTGGTTTTGCGTTTTAGTTCGCTGTTATCAGTTTTTATTTTATACTGAAAGAAGATTTGACTTTAAAATCCGGAGCCTTCAGGTTTGTGAAGATCCACAAGCAGTCGTTTTCTACGATTCATTAAAAAGTAATATATATTTTTACTGTTTTCTGTCTGTATCTAAAAGGTTAAGTACATGTATATTTTAGATGACGGGAAAAAAGAATGTATAATTATTGAGACTGTTTGTATCAAAGTAGACAATGAAAAGACATTATGTATATTCCGAATCTGGTATCTATCTAAAGGACAATAGAGTCTATCAAAGTATCTTCATTATCATATTCTACTGGTTTCCACTGTTGTTTCTGTCCTCGTAGAAACATCAATAGACGATATTCACTGAGTTTAATTATGACACATATTCGATCGCAACTTAGACATAAAAAAGACATCAAATCTAAATCTTTTTGTCAGTTGATACAGACATACTGTAACGAACCTTAGTGGATAAATTTGCTATTGAATGCAAAACAGATAAGAAACTCAAGGTCTCTCATTCCCTGGGGTCCAGATAGCACATTTAAATTTTTCAAACCTATTCTCCCTGTGAGTGATGCAATTGGACTGAGCCTGAAAAATTGAAAAGGCGTCTGTTCAAATGGGACAGTAAGCTGAGATCAAGACTAGAAATCTGTAAAGAGTACTGAAGCCGGTGTCCTGGTAAAGTTTCTCTCATCTCACACTGCATACACTAGTGTCCTCATTTCGTCATTATTACCAGCAAAGTGCGCATATCGTTATCAAATCTAAACATTATATAATCTTTTATCCTCAGATAATAACATACATTTCATTATTGCAAATTTCATATCAGGGAATGCCCTTGAAATAACAGAAATTTATATGGTTGTTTGTATGGGTGTTTATCTCAAAATTGGATATGGATAATTATTTATAGTGTTATTTTGTTGTCGAGAATGACAATTACTGCAGTCCGAAGCGATGGCAAATATCTTTTAGTTCTACCCCACTGCCAAAACTGTGCATAAGTCTTTAGTATAGTGATTATAGTAACTAATAAATAATAAGAAACTGTAGCTATGTGTTTTATTGGTTACGGTCATTGATAATAAACGATAAAAGAATAAGTAAAACATGAAGTGTTAAGTAGCAACAAGATATACTAAGATATTCTGTATGGAACTACTTACTAATCATTAACTCAAAGTCAATTAACCGTTAAAAGATGGTTCATAAACAACAAATTGTCTCTAGAGTGGCGACTTTAACATATGGTTTTATCTTTACTAGAGATCTCTTACCAATATCAATACATGTACATCTAGATTTGTCCTTTTGGGCTCCAAGGAATAAATTAATCATTAGCTTGAGAGCTCTTATACATTATACAAGGATTCATCAGTTCGAGAGCTAACTTGAAATCTGATTTTGCGGTCCAATTCAGAATGGCAAAAGATACAGATATACCTCTGCATGACAAGAGATCAGAAAAGCCGTGCCAGTATTAGTGGCAAATTTTTCCTCATTACACCCAGCC